AAATTTTCAGTTAGACAACAAAGCAAAGTATAAAAACGACTCATTTCTTTGATAGAAACAATAACAACAAATCTTTTTCTCTTTCTATTTCTCGCACTTCTGTAATAATAAATTTGTTTTGAATGCAAAATAAATGGAGAAATTAATGCAATTCGTTTACCTAAAGCACTCTTTCTTCTCCCTTCGTTATATATTATTATATTGACAAGCGGAACTGACGAATGGTAGAAGCGGAAGGCGGAACATTCCTGATATATTAATAAGTATAAATTGTATGAATAAGTACCATTTGTCCCTTACTTTGTCGTACAAGAAGAAGTACACCGATCGAATCTCATCACACTTACGATAGCTTCGGTGATTTGAAGCTAATGCCGCACGCGACGGCGATCAGCAAATTGACTAGCCGTAAGCTCATCGCTCACTATTTTAATTAATAGAATACATATACTTTGCTAAATTATACGCAAAACACGTGTTTCGATGCTGCCAACTATAACAAATGTGCTAACTATACATAAATTTGCAAACATGTATTAGAACATTTTGCAATTCTGCAGTCTATCTTCTTGCAATCATTGTTATCAATGTCATTTGCATGATTTTCCATCCACACTTTTTCATTGTCATCTATTCCTTTCATTATGATATGAACTAAAGCTTTTTTAATATTTTCAACTGATGGCGAGTGCTTTGTCATCAGTTCTATTTCTGAGATTAGACTGATAGCTTGTCACTCCTTCTCTACGTAAAATTTCCATTCCTTCTCACATATAAATACATATACCTATAACTTTAACATTCTTATCAATTTGATAAAAGAGTGTTAAATTTTTAAATTGCTCATTTCATCTCTTAATTAGAAGTGCAATTATCCGTTTTCCACTAATCAATATTTAATACAATACTCATATTTAGTTGCTTATGTTAGGATATCATAGTATTGTGTAATATCATCATTAAATCATGCAAAAATTGAAAGTTAACAAATGAAATTTAGAAATGTTGAATTTTACGAATCATCAGGGATTTTGATTATTCTCTTTAAGTCTATAAAGATTTTAGAGATGTCAAAATATTAGTAGACTTTCTCTCTAACTCTTTCTACTAGACACTATAAACTTTCTATAGCAAGATTGTCGATAAGGTTTGCTTTGCTTTTCCTCTAACAACTTCTTTTTTTTTTTCTGCTCACATTTTTTCAATCTTAAGTTAGACTTTTCATATTTCTGCTTAACTAATAGAAGATCACAATTTTATTCTATGAAATGAATAATTAATTGTTTCAAGAATACATACTCATTTATCACATACTGTTACATTGTTTCCAGAACAAAACAAAATGATGAAACATTCATTTCATTGAGATCATTTCTTTTAATAAAAACTAGTCTAGTAGGAAGTAGAAAGTTATCTAATCATTAATTACCAAACAATATCTTATCTGTAAGGCTTATCCTACAGAGATTTTGTTTCTCTCCCTCCTCTCTCTCTCTCCTTCTACTTTTGAAAGTTAAATTGAGGACGATCAATTCGTAGCGATGACAATATGTGGACAATTTTCACTCACATTAGTTGGATTAATTGAAGGAAAAACTATTTTCAGTGATTTATTTGCGTGACAGTGGACAGCAATAAAGTTTAATGAATGAAGCGGAAAGTTTCAAGAATTGAATTAAAATTGCTCACATATTTCTGTTCTGTTTGCTACAAAAATGATTTTTGTGAAAAAAAATGGAACTTTTCTGTATTACATCCTCACAGAATTCTTGCATATAAATTTTTATTTCTGACAAATAATGAAGAGATTTTTATGGAACCAAATCGATTCTGTCAAAGAGAATGGCATATTAGAGGGGATTAAAAATATCTGTCCCCGTAATTCATCCCAATATACTACGAGTACATCAAGGACAAGCAGTACTATCAGTCACTTGAATTTCTTGAAAAACTTTTCCGCAATGTTCTGTGAATAAACCTATCAAAAAAAAAATAAAAAGTAGTACTTTATCAAATAGAATTTAATTAACGCCATAGGAAAAATGAAACAGAAATGCAATACGTTTCATTAGAACCCTTTGCGCTGCATTGTACTTTTGCTTATAAAAAAATGTTTAGTAATTAAAAATACGTCATTGATTGGTTTGTAGATTACTGAGATTATACGTTTTCATGCTTCAGACAAGCTCAATATCGTCATTCCGTGGCAAATATTCCGTATAATATAGTGAGGAATCTGTAATTTTTCAGGTTACTTGGGGACAGTTGCTTCCGGATGACACATCTCCACTCAATCTAAAATTTCTTCTTAATTTGATACAACTGTTTAAAATCAAAAAAGAAAAAAAAACTGATAAATGTTTGCAATATTTCCTGTCAGTGTGTTAATTAATTATCCTATCTCCATTTGAATAATTCCTACTGCAATTGCAATTTGTTGGCAGTGATGAGAGAAGGATGAGGATGCTATGTCATGGATAGCAATGCTTAATGCATTCCCGGAAAAATCAATAATTTGTGCAGTTTCCTAGAATTTCTGTTAATGTTATAACAGTGACCGAAAATTTTGGAATTGGAATTCAGTTGATACATTAGAGTTCCTTACATTCAAAAGTGATCAACTACCAGAATATTTCCATAAAACTTTCACAAAGTTTTTATTCCAAAAAAATTTCGATTTGCTTTTAACAGCAATCATTATATTTGGGGATGAAAATGTATGATGTACTATTACTGATATTATTGTTAGTGCTGAAAAAGGCGGAAAGTTGAAAAGACTAATAGTGGGGATGTTAAAGTTTGAAGCAGATGTATTCCCGAAGTGAGTTTGAAACCTCTTCAACATTCAAAGGACTACAACCAATACACTATTATAAAGGTATAATATATGAAAATTACCTTTTGCTTCCAATTATATTTAAATTATTTCTCAACTCTTCAAATTTTTTTTTCTCGTTGATCTTTTTAAATTTTTACTTTTTAAATCTGTTCGCATTTTTCGTCCTCTAACTTAATTTTCAACTTCTCTCTTCTCCAACTTTTCTTCAGTCTGCGAGATATTCTTCGATATGATGAGGGAACTGTCATCTAAAATAAGATGGATACGATATATAGCATTTAATTGATCATTTTATTAACAGTTAAAACATTTAGACGAATTTCTCTTTCTTCTTCTGAATGTATACCGTTAAACTTGTACAATCCGATAAAAGAATGGTGAAAATGAAGAGCTATGTGATGTTTAATGCTTTTATGCTATTTTCCCGCTAATTATTTCTAGAAAATTCCGCCATTCAGATGACATATTCATTGAAATTTGGAAATTCTCACAAACATCCATTAAATAAAAATTATAGATTACATTATGATTTACACATTCATTCTAAAAACATTTCAATGCAAATTTCCATTACGCATAAATTCATTGATATTTTATAAATTCAATTCAAAAAATATCTGAAATAACAATCTATTTCCATTATTCTATATTATAGTTTTAATTATAGAGGAAAGATGAAGTAGAGAGGGAACTGCCATGGATGACAGCATTGATATGACATCTTGTTTCCTATACCTCTCGTATTTTATTGCTACTAGAAGCAATCAAGAATGTGGAACTTAATCTAATTTATATCAAGTATCGTATTTGAGTTTTAGTGACTAAATCAAATCAGTAAACTTACAAGTTTCCTTTGATGTTGTTATCATCAATGGTTGATTCATCATCATCTTGCAATCAGTCATACAACAAAAGATGAATGATATAAGTAAGCTATAGCTAATCGATTTGTTATATTTTTTTGAAACGAAAAAAATTGATTAATAAATGCATTTCTAAAACAACATTTATAAGAAACGTTGGTTTGCCTTTTCCAAGTCAGTTGATGTTATCTATCTGAGATAACATATCAGAGATGATGATTCATTCGTGTTTATACTTGTTTCCATACCTAATGATACTAATATACATTTATTTGATCTATTTTTAAATTTATCAAAAATTTTGAATAAAACTAGTATTAGTTAAAATACTTATATACTGCTTTCATCAACAGATGACAATGATGATGATAGTGATGATGAATTATTTCTTCTTCAAAATAATCTGTTTCAAGAAGTCAATATCAATTTAAACTTTCTTACTTCTTGTTAAGACTAGGAATATATGGTGCATATTGCCTGTTAAATCAAATGAAAGCAATCATACACTTTGTCACATACAACAGAGCTATCAAAATGACACACTGCTCAGCTCGTTTACTTAATATTTTATGAACTTTATCAAATAAATCAATTTTGAATTTCTAATAGTATGTTGACACCTGTGGTTTGATGTTGCCATTTATTTGTCTTTATTATACTTGCTTATATTGTCAAAAAGAGAGAAACTTTTTTAAAAATGATTATTTTAATATTTTTTCGTTCATTTCTATTTTAACAATAACAGTATTTGATGATTGATGTGATAATTATATCTTACATTTTAGCATAAATACTAATATAATTAAAATTACTTTTTCTATTGTCAGTAGGCTATTAATCAACAAAATAATCAGTGGTAAAATTGTACAATGCAACATGTGTTGTATTTAGCAAATAGAGTGAATTTCAACTGATTTCGATTCTAAATTTCGGTTAAATTTCAGTTTTAGATTATCACACGCTATTACAAAGCCCTTAATATCATTCGGTTTCATTCGATTTCCTAATTTACGATGAATTAAATAAGTACCTGATTAGGCAGGTAGATTTTAATCTCATTTGAGGAGTTCGATATTTTGTACGACATAATTAAAAAATATTCATGTGATTTCATTTATTTTCCTGTAATTCATCATTTTCATAAAATTTGTTATTAAGTGAATAAATGAACATAAACAAAGATGGAAAAACACAGAAAGTCATTGTTTAAAGTATAAGTTTAAATCATTCAAAACACATAAAAGTAGATAATTAAAAAAGATTTTATCAAATCAATGGTTTAATAGTTTTAATTATGATTTAGGACGTGAGCGAAGCTCGAGAACAAGTTATCATCCTGCGGCGGTATTAGAGGTAGGTGCAATGATGCTACAGAATATGTTCAGCGCCTTATCCTTTTTGCACTATCGCAAAGATGACGATTTCGTTGACCGCTTGTCTTACTTTTACACTCCGTCCTTCTTGATCATGATGGCCATCCTGGTCAGTTTCAAGCAAGTAAGACATTTTCTTTTTTCTTCATGTATTTTTTTTTCGGTATCCAAAGGTCTCGGAAAAAAAACCAAAACTTTACTGGGGTATGAATAAATATCCAGGTTGTAATTAATGCAAGAAAAGTTAACAATCATTTCAATTTTGAGAGAAGAAATTGAGCTAATTGAAAGAGATAACATTGAAATAATGAACCAGATGCGATTTAAAAGCGGCATTGTCTTAGTAGAAGACAAATTTCTCTTATTTGGGCGAAACTAACCATAAGTACTTAAATGATCCCATGCCATATAATCATAAGGCGGAAATTGTTCAATATACCATTTATGGGATTTTCTTTTTTATTCCACTTTAATATACTTTTTTATATTCTGAAATGAAGTATAAAAGATGTTATAGTTTGGTGGTCGACCTCTCGAATGTTGGGTGCCTGCACAGTTTACAAGCTCATGGGAAGCTTATACAGAAATGTATTGCTGGGCTCAAAATACATATTGGGTACCCATCGAGCAGGTAAAGTATTCATTCACATTTAGCAATTATTAGATGAAAGTCTTTATCACTAAGTTCATAATCTTTATCAGTTTATTATCCCAGAGAAAGTAAGTGTTGCATTGTGCTAATTAATTTCGAAAATGAAAACAAGAAATAAAAGTTTAATCTACAGCCTCATTCATTCATCCATTATAAAAGAACTATTCAAAAATAATACAAACATTTGTTAGAAGTCATATTAGACTGTTTATCTTCCAGGATATCCCAATGGATATAGCAGAGCGGGAATATCGACAAATATCCTATTATCAATGGGTGCCATTTTTTCTTCTTATTCAAGCCTTTCTCTATTACATTCCATGCCTCATTTGGCGTCTAATGAGCGACAAGTCTGGTAATTTCATCAATATCTTCATTCTTCTCATGCAGTTACGATTTTAAAATACTTGCAGTTTGCTTCCTTTTAGCTTGCTGGCAATTTAACAAAACCAGTTGGAAGTTTGAAATGCAATTAGGGAATTCTTGAAGTGTTGAATTTGATTTATTCGACCTTCAACATTTTCAAATGAGGAAATAGATATTGAGAGATATAATGGTTTTCTACCCTTTATCTTCCTTTATGCTCGTTTTTCATCCATAACTTTTAACATTTGATCACTACTTCTGTTTCTCTCGAAAAGGCAAGAGTAGTGATAAATCGACAAACCCATGAGAGGCACTAAAATTATGTAATTAGGGTCATTCATTAGCTCTCGATAAATTTTCATTTCAAATACTGTAGGCATTAGGTTGAACGATATTGTTCAGTTGGCAACAGAAAAAGAAAATATTGAACCAGACTATAGAACACGAATCATCAAATCTCTTGCACGTCATATCGAATCTGCTCTCAGGTCATTATCCTAATATATATCATTTCTCTAATTAGTTCTGGTTTTAAAGAATGCTAATATTTGTTTTGATAAGATATGGTGTAATATAGATTGCTGTATATTTCTGATTTTGAATTATCATAATTCTGATTAAGTTATTATTTCCAATTTGAATAGCCTTCCATTCTTTTGTTTCTCATACCAATCAATGTGCTTCAGTACCGCTTTTTTATTACTTCTGTTTATTTAACTATTATATCGGTAATTATACATTGCAGGTACCAGCATGCAGCCACCTCACGAACTCAATATACATTACATAGAGTTTTAAAATGCCTAAATATACGTTATTATGAAAGCTATGTGACAGGCCTCTATTTAGTAAGCTATGCTTAAATTCTTCTTTCTTCACTTTTGTAATATGCCATCGTATATATAGCTTTATTGGCTATTTTTAATTATGGCTATATGAGGCTCATGCTACATTCCATTAGGCATTTACTTTAAATTATACAGCTGTTCAATTTTAGTTTCAAGCTGTCACTCTTTTAGTAATTCATGATTTCTTCAATGTCTAAGTATAAGTCGATCATGGGATTGTTTTTATTGCGTTGGCTTATCTTTGATTGAAATATTTTTACCATTTCTTCCCAAATTTAAATTATTACTGTTCATTTTACTCTTTTTCAGGCTACGAAAGTGATGTATGTAAGCAATATATTAACGAATTTGATATTAGTGAATAAATTTTTGGAGACAGACGAATATTCTATTTATGGTCTCGGTGTACTGCGTGATCTTTTGTTTGGCAGGTCCTGGATGGAATCTGGTAATTTCCCACGAGTTACTTTAGTCAGTTGTTTTACTTGCTTACTGTTAAAATCCTTCAGTTGTTTCCCACCTACATGACCCGAAAAGTTGTGAACAATCAAACAGTTAGTGTAATTAGCATAAGTACATAGGCTGTTCTCTTCCTTTCTAATCGTAATGTTTCTGCGAAATCTGAAATAATTTATTCTAATCTTACGCTTATTCATTTTTGTTTCATAAACAGTACATTTACTCATTACGGTTAATGATAACTGTGCAAATTAGCCAAATAAAGAGATGAATAAAGTAAATTCATTCAGACATAATTATCAGCACATGAGCTTTCATTAGATTAATCCTCGTTGAAAAATTAATTCAGGAGTTGATTTCAGTGTGATTTCGAAGTGCGCGTTCTTGGTAATAATCAGCGGCATTCCGTACAGGTGTGTATTTTTCATTTCTATGTTCTTCATGAATTATTTGAGAACATCATTAGAGTTAACAATGTTTTCACTCATGCTCAATGTTTTCTTAATGAGAACTGCCCTATGCTGTCTTAGCCAGAATACATGAATGAGTATACTTATGGGATACTGAATAGACTTAGTAATTGACCTTCATGTCTTACATAGCTTGGTAAAAATCAAATTTATGTACAATGCTAATTTTAAGAGAATTCATCAGAGTCGGGATGGAATGATAAAAGATAATTGGAGAAATAAAAGCAGGAAAAGATAATGAGACAGAATAGAAGATAGAATGAAGAAGAACAATGGACAATAAAATAATATTAGCCAGTGATTTTATGAGATGTAGTGCCAGGTTGTGTTATCAGGAATAACATTTCTTTGTAGTACCAGAAATAAAATTAAATTTTTATAGGATTGACTAGAAGTGAAATGAAATTAGTTAGAATAAAGCCATAAATATGAGGAAATAAATTTTTGAACGAATGAAACAGATTGAAGAAGTTGATAATAAAAGTATTTGTAGTGTGTCCTTGTTATAAATATATTCAACGAGAAAATATTCATTTTAATTTGGTTATGGTTTTCGGTATTATTCGTTGCTGCCACGTTGGATGCTCTCTACTGGTTCAGCATTTCCTTATTTCACAGGTTAATTTACTTACTTGGTTTTTCAGTAAAACAGAATATTGAATCAATTTCATAGTAACGAGAACTTTTTATTATATTAAAGAAGAAGTATTAAAGAAGATTTTAAAATTCGTTGAACAGCATCACTTTTTACTAAATTGAGGATTAGCCTAGAGTTAGAGCTTGGATTAATGGATTGTTTCGTTTTTCGAATATACGGCTGGGCGATGCATTTATTGTTATTTTCTACGGTAAAATTTTAAGCCGGTTCAGTGTTTTCTTGTAAATAAAGTAATGCCTTAAATACTCTTGTCGTATTTAACTAATAAGCAAGTAAGAGGTTAAACAAAAGGGAAAATCCCTTGCATATTATTTCGTAAATTATTTATCATTTATTCTTTTTGCTTAGCTTATAATTTCCACTTTTAATTTTTGTGCAATATTAAAAATAAGCTTAGACAACGGTTTTTTGGAAAATATGTTGGGTTTTATAGAGATCGTGTTCGTTTTGTTTTGCGTCATCTTGAGCTGACAACCGATCCTGATCGACCTGAACTGTTTCGAAAGGAAAAGCGAAATCAAGTGGAGCATTTCCTGAAAACGTACCTCAAGGTAGCTTTACTTGAACTTTTTTTCGTTTTCTTTTTCCCCTTCCTGAACTTTCCTTCTGCTCTTGTTCTTGGACTTCTCTTTGCTCTTGCCCCTTACGTATTCCATGTTATCATGAGTACAGGTAGATGGTGTATTAGTGTTGCGAATGATAGCGCTTCATGCGGGTGTGATGTTTTGCACTGAAATCACGGATGCACTCTGGAAACGCTATCTGTCACAGAATCCAGAAAATCTAATAGATGAAGATTCTTCACTTATCAATTTTGCTCGGTATGTTTTGTTTAGTTTAAATGATCCAAAGAATTTGTATTTTTGAGTGATGCATCTTGATGTTCTTCAATCCCTACTATGTGTCCGAAACCAAATAGTCTGAGTTACTAAACCAATAGCCCAATTGACCTTTGCAATCAGTTGTCAGTATCCCTTGATATTGATATATGCATGTTTATGTACCGAAGTACGATCACATTTCCACCAGGAGTTGTGCTACAGTGACTGACTGATCCTGACTGATTACTTGGTTACTTTTCTCCTATTCTTAACAGATTTGAAAGCATTTGTGGCTTACAACGTACGTGTGACATGTGTAACTTGCATGTGTGACAAGCTTTTATTAGAAGGGATGTTGTTTGGAATTATTGATTCGCATTTGGTTTTAGAACTAACATGATAGAAAAAATATCCGTCACTTGTTTTTGAATGCAGTTCTCATTTTAACTCAAGACGAATTATTTTTTTATAACTAATGAAGTTATTTATCGTTAGGCTCAGTGGCAGTTCAATGAATGTGCTTAATTTCATTTCCAGAGCACTTCTATAAGTTGCACTTGTCTCAGAATAAACTCATTTGAACTGGACTGATTATCGAAGACTGCCATTTCAAGTGATGTTGGCTTATCCGTAGTGTCATATTCATATCATAGTGCTTTTTTTTTTAGTATTTTGAGTAAATAGTATAAAATGTCAATGGCACGCTTTTAGTATTTCAGAACTCAATCGATCCACAGGAAACGGCAAAATGATGGTAATAGTGGTGACAAACGGAAAAGATATCAACATTTATTTGCTCATCAGCGATTCTCCAAGCTCTTTTCACAGCGCACAGAAGCATCTCTTCGGTTAGATATTCTCGTTTTTCTTTTGAACGCTTGCTTGGATGAGGAACGCCTTGTCTCTAACCAATTCATAGCAAGTATCGTTAAGCTTTCGATAGAAGAGTAGCGTGGTAGAAATGAAATACACAAGTATTTTAAGTCCTACTGAAGTCCAAAAGCATTTCTTCATCAATATTCGACCTTTATTCCACATATCTTCCCTTTTTGGGTAAAAATTGCCTTACTTGATTTACTAATAAAGCAATTTATTAAGTTCTTTACTCTAGGCCATTTTTATCATATTCTAACTGTCCATTCTGCTCCACTTTCACTGACTCTAAGCCAAAACCTCAATACAGCCTAATATAGGAAACACCAGTAATCGGAAGTGAATGTGTAACTCATGAAGTATCAAACGGGACAATATGAGCTTGGAATGTTGGAGTTCTACAAGTAATTATATTAAAGCTAAAATATTTACTGTAGTCCTAATCGTGGTCAAGACATTAATCGGTGGCTTGACATGGACCGTCAAGAGCCGCAGATACAAATTCGACTTCTAAAGCAAACACCAATGAAGATACAGTTGTCACCAGGATCACAGATCACAAAAGATAAGGATGTGAAAGAGGACAAAAGTTTGCAGTGCAATGAATCATCGACGCTCTTATCCTACGAATGATTAAATATAGCAAATGATAAAAAACAGCTGTTTTATATTCTGTGCACACAAACGATCCGTGTGCTTCGACTTTGCAAGTCAGTTGAGAGAATTACTGCATGCAAAGAATGTCAGAGGTCGTTGTCACCTCCGTTCTGGATTTTGGAAAGCAGTTTCGATAGCTGTGGTGGTGGTAATGATGTTTATAATCCAAGAACCCTGCTATGGAAAACCGGGAATGACTTCTTCCTTATATATTGCTTACCAGATTCAGAGATACTTTTGTGAACTTGATGCTTTTTGGATGAAAGATGAAATAGAGTTGAAGTATTTACTGCCGTTTTTATAAATTTCTTTGCATAAAGTGCTAAGACTAACTATAAATGAATAGGAGTTAACAGTATCGTTATCTCGACCAAACCAGAAGCTGTTTCTGGTGACTTCTAGGGAAGGAGCCTACCCGTAACCTCACCCATGTCTGATTTTGTCCTACTAAGACATTTATGTGAGATATTTTATTCATTTTAAGATATCAGGCAAAGATCAAACAGAATAGATCGTTACAGAAATCATCACATGACGAAATAACAGCAAAATCACGCCAAAATACGACCACCCAGAGCAAATGCAAGCTGAGATGTTTCGCAGGTCGCTCACAAATAAAGAATTACCTGATTGTAAATCTCCACTGTTTATTATCCTACTAGCTCTAAGCCCATGTCATTTCAGGCATGAAGGGCAATGCATTACAGCCTGTGCATATACCCAGATAGATAGATGCTCAGCCTTCCACATGTCAATGTCACAACTGAGGCTAATAATGTTTCAGTATGACATAAAAATTAGAAAAGTACAAGGAAAATGCAATTGAAGAACGGAAAGAATTGAGTCACACAACTACCTTTTAATGAATAGCCGCTCTGCGCGTTCCAAATTTTAGAAATAATGACGCAATCATATGAGTGAAAGATCTTTGATTCTACATCAATAAAACTTCGAAAAGGGTTGTTTGAATGAATGGTTATTTTCAAATCATATTTTGAATCAGAATAACATATCGGAAGCATAAAACATTGCTATCGTATGCGACAAGGTTTCAATGGAGGTTCTCGGTGATGGAAGATGCAATTTGATAGAATCTTCCGTGGGGATCCAACCAGTTTAAATCAATGAACTATTAAAATATTAGAACTGTTAGCCATCAGAAATAAAATATTTCCTTTTATTAAGAATAGTAATGCAAAGTTGTGGTAGTGTATGGAAAAATCCTAACTTTAGAGACAACTCTCTCATGACTTTTCAGAAGTTGAGAGAAAAGTTAGCATTAGGAACGTCGCAATTATAGAGTACTAAATTGATTTATTGGACTTCCCACAACAATGTACAACTAATTAAAGTCAGAATAATCAAGTCAACTATATCAAGCACATGCTCCAATTTACTGAAGTTCACAATAATTTATATCAATTCACGTTGCCGCTACACTCGGTGCTTTCCATCGGTATTTCCCACTTGCTGCAGTAAGAAGTGCAACAGCACTCGCTTTAGGATGCCAGAAATAGCAGGCACGATTCGTACAACGATCACCGAAACGACAAAGCTAAAAAAATACTACTCTACTCTGTGTATTACGTAAAGCATACACATCTTAGGAGAACTCCATCATAACGACAAACATAGATTGCGAACTGTACTAACTGATATCACTTGCTTCTGAAATGATCGATATCTTAATAAAATGATTAATTACCTTAGGGTGTTTGAAGCTACAGCTGGCATTCGCGCATTTCCCACCATATTTACATGGAATGTTCAAAGCATAGGAAGCAGCTGGTGTAACTGAATTCAACGATGCCTGTGCTCCCATTTCAGGTGATGGAGCTACTGTTATAGCCGTCCTGAAATTTTAGACTTTATAACTCCCAAGTGTAGGGATTAAAATGAATTTAAAGGATACTGGAAACCGAGATGCTAAGGCGCATATAAATCTAATATTCAAGAAAGCTGATATTAGACCGTGTTTCATACATAATATCCATTCGAAAAGCGAAGCTTCAGAACACTCCGACATTATTAGAAACACAAAGTATGCAACCAGTGAATCATTAAGTATAAATACTATTTTAAAACGATATCTGTAGTTCAAAAACATACGTTGCCTTCAAAATGTGTGCATAAACACAGTTTGGATTCAAGCACATACGACCAAATTTGCATTGCGGATGGATGTAAATACATCGGTCACCAAACGAACAGTTCGGGAAATTGCTAAAAAAGGTGCTTTGAATCAGTTCGATGCAACATTTTGAATTAATTTATTAGATATTGCTGACTGTCTGACTTAATTTTCACGTGTTTCAAAGTTTCGGAATGATTACTTTCCCAAATCTCCCATTTCCACGAATGAAAATAAAACTTTCCCTCACACCGAGTCGCACATTAATGCTTATTAAATGAAGTGAACTTTGGCACTTCCAAAAAAGTTAATCCTAATCATACGTACTCATTACCACTGGTGAAACTACTATTGATAATCGTCCTTGTCAATAAAAAAAATCAGCCAGCTAAATCGATTACAAACGTACAAAGCAGTAAGCCGAGTTATATATGCTAAAATCGCGCAAACGTAATTTAGTAAAACAAGCTAGAATGTAGGTACGACACAATGGACTTTCAAATAATAGATTACCTGCACGGTTTACTTGGGTGAATATATACACAGTTTTGAAGAGAGCAATTTGGCCAAAATTTACAGCGTTCCATTATTTTTTCAGCTCCTGCTGATGAAACTATTGATGCATTTGATATCTAAACAAGCAAAAAGTTAGCAGGATTGCACGTTTACTTCACTGCAATAACCTTTAAAACATAGCATAACAGAAATGTCATACATGATCTCACAGAATGTCATATATTTGGTCACTTCTAAATACATTTTATTGAGTATCAAAGAGTTATGCAGACAAACAGAGGGCAAAAGAAGCCTTACAACAAGAAAAACCCAATAATTTGCACAAGAAAAAAAATTTAAATCTGATCTCACAAGAAGAAATCTGATCTTTCTCGATTAACTTAGCAAATGATATAATTAAAGAAGGTGCCTGTCTACTGGCAATGAATACATTTTGTCGTGATGCACTGTAAAAAAGCTGTGGTGGCGGAGTCTGTGGACGAAACAATGGACTCGATAGGGCTGGAGTTGGCGGTACCTTAAAAACAACATGTTTCAATAAAAATAGGGAAATGGTACACATGTCACATGGGTGACATATGTATTACCATTGCCCCATTTTTATTTAAGCTAAGTTACAGTACTGCAATAAAGAAATTTTTGAGGAATTTAAAGTACTTCAAATCTCGTTAACTTTCCATTCCAAATACCTTCACTCAGGCTCACTATCAAGTTGCTAAACAAATCAAGCAAAAACTTTACGAAACATTAATAACACTTGATTATCAAATTCTAACCTCATCAAAGCCTTGACCAACCGTTTGAGCACTGGCGAGAACAGCATCAATCCGTGCTTCTGAAAAAAGATAAACACATCATGTGTTTTTTTTATAAGCAGTTCTATAAAAAGATTTAAAAAATGCTTTTATTGTTTCTCCTTTGTATCATATAAAGGCTGCAACCGCGAAGATATTTCGGAATAAAGATGTATCCAGCAGTAAAATCGACAAATTGTATACCACATGCACACATTTGACCTATATGGGTTACAATTTTTTTCGTATTTACTCTAATGAATAGCCAATCGTCTGAGCTCAAATAAAAAAGTTTGCAGTGCATAGATCATTGAGTAATAAATCCAAAATGAAGTCCTATTCGAAACATATCATCCTTCTTCAAATTGTAACTGATGTTTTGACAGTCACACAAATGCTACCTATCAATATCAAAGGAACTAACAGTTCAATAATTTTGACTGACTTCATATTCAGCGACATGCAGTTATTATATTACACCCATGCACTAATCAATTCCGACCCTGTTTATGATATAATGAACTTGTAAATAAAAATAAAATAAAATAATCCATACCATCATCACCATCATCATCATCATCACCGTCATCGCTGGTATCTTCTTCCGGCAGTTGTATTTGCAAATCCCAAGCAGGTAAAGGTTTCGAATCATTGGGAACCTGGGAAAACTTCATTACACATATATTTAATGCTTAATAACATTCAGCATCGTTTTTGTTTTAAATATATAAGTCGCCACAGCAATAAAATTTACAGCTTTAAAGAAGGCAGTGGAAGTTTTCGAAGTACACAAAAAATATCAAACTCGTGTGTAATCCGTAACAACTTTTATATTAAAAACTAAATACTCTTATAATGCTTCTCCCATTTCTTTTGGAACTGGTGTGGAACTTTAGTTTTTACCTCATTAGAACGTGCTATCAGACATGCTTCATTTTCCATACTATTGGCAACTGATTTTTCATGAGACACTTCTCTTCTTATCTGTCTTGGTTGTGACAGGTTCAGGTGCGCCAAAACTGTAAATGCAATAGTTGGATCAATTAAATTAGTGATATAAAGATCCGAAATCGTTTGCACATCCAACTGAACCATTAACAATGAACTACGAAGCTTAACATGTGAAAATAACGGGAAGGATCCCAGAACTCACTTGGATTCGTTTCATTCTTACGCCTTTTCGCCTTCTTCTTGCTAACAAATTCAACATTTCCTTCACCAATTTTTGTAAGTCGTTTAGCCAAACCACTGATTGAATTGCCTTTTAAAGTAATGTAAAATTTCGGCTCTTCAACGGAATTTGGTCTGAAGAACTTTATTATTAGTAATAACAATCTTGACACTTGAAAGTCTGCAAAAATAGTCAGAAACTTCGTAGCTATCGTAAATCACTAACACAAAGGACTGAATAGTAATATCTCTATTATCACATATCAGCAACGATTTGAATTTTCCAAACAGTAAAAATTTCATAAAACAATCAAATAAACTAGATTACAAACCCGTATGTCCGCATGCGTTTTCTTTCCACTTCTGGTTCACTTAAACTGCATTCATCAACTTTCTGCACGATTGAACGACCATTATTATTTCCACCACTTGATTCGTCCGGCATGACAACCAACGCGTCACCAATATCATCATAAACATCGATTTCAATACCCTAGCATAATATATATGTACAAAATATGCAAAGAAATCTAGCAATTGTCGTGCAATTAGAATGGCTCAATTCTATGCCACTAGTATAAGTAACAGCTTATGAAGACCAACACGAGCAGTGAAAATGCAGTATAAGAGATAAAGTAAGCTTTTCCTCTTTACGTCATCATTATCTCAGTAAAGTTATAAGTTCTTCGAAAAAGCAGAAAATAAATTCAATACTAACCTCCTCTTCATCTAAAACATTCATATCATTCTGTTTATGCTTCCCATGATCAGCTATTTCTTTCTCTTTTTTCATTGTTAACCCGCTACCATAACCAGCAATTTGGCTCGCTGTTCTTGTTGTTTCGCCCGCTTCCTTAATCGCTTTCAAAAACAGTGACTTCACGCCACGAGACTGCTTACTGTAACGAATTTCACTTACTATAAAACAAGAGTCAGAAGTTGAGGAAAATTAGAAGCAACTAGCAAGAGTTCGCTCTCATATCAAACGAGTTAGAACAGTACAACATGACTGCATGAGAAACTGAGAGTCGATTCAACGGCACATCGTCGTAATTCAAATGTTTCAAACAGCTGTAAGATTGACTTACGTCGTTACTTCTTTTTCAGGCAGTTTTCGTTTCACAATTACTTGAGAAGATACCGATTTTACAGTTGGCTCTGGTGGTAATTTAACGACGGCAGATGACTGCACCTATAACAGTTGAGAGTCTTGATTTCTAGTGAAATACGTGAAACGGTATTTAGCAATAGTTATCATTTACAGCACAGATGTTCTCAACAAAACAGGTTGTAGTGAACATGAATGACTCGATTACTCGCTAATATAACCACACAGAAAATAACTAATTAAGTGAAAATCACTGCGTAACAATAATTCTATTATATCTAGTAAAGATACTATGCTTACCGACTACACCAACAATGCAAATATATTTAACCTTTTTGCTTCTCAAAATGCGAGCAGACTCTTCCGCCGCAATGCGTTCCTCTTCGTCAACATTCTCCTCCAGTGATGGTGAACGAGACTGCGCCTTTCGCTTTCGCTGTAGAATATCTTGTCCCGAATCACCCGATATCTTGCTGAAAGCATATGCTAGAAATGATCAAAGAAAATAAGTAATAATAGAAGTTAAGCAAACAGATGGGCAAAAACAAATGATTGAGAAATGTTCCCTCACAAAAGCAATTGCATTTTCTGGGACTTTTTCAGAAAATACGAAAGACTTGATGCACTGTATTTTTAGGGAGATCCTAAAATCTTTTCAGTTTTTGAAACACAATGCAATTCTTCACCAATCGATGCGTCATAAACAAATAATGTGTAAAAGGCTATTAAACGAAAATTCTATGAAATAGGCTCACATTAGGGAAAACCACTGACAAATACTGTCAAGCGACCAGAAATAAAAAGAGGCCTACCTTGCACAAATATCCTTCTTAGCTCGTTTATCCTCTTCATCATTTCGTCTTTTAGAATATTTTGCGTCTTCTTTTGCCTCTTTTTCTGCCCTGCCATCAGATCTAACTTGCGAAAATTTTCGATCATATCTATCACCATCATTTCGTCTTACTCCGAAACGTACAGTTGCTGCAACATCAAATTTTCATCGTCAATTTTCAACAATCTCGAGAACTGTAATCACACTTCTAGTTTATGAAAGCAAAGAAATGAGGAAAATTATTGAGGCCAAAAGGTTATGAAAATACCTCGATGTTCTGGACTTTCCGGTTTCTTCCGACGATGCATCTTTTCTGGAGGCAAAACAGGAGATTTTGTTCTACGTGATGGCTGAAAGTTGCAAAAATTGAAAATAAATGAACAGTAAATTTTATTTTTCCTATGGATCAGTTCATATTCAACTATGATTTAACAAAGTGAGAAGTAATGCAACAAGCAGCCAAAACGCTCTAACATCTTGTTGTCAAGCAAATCTCAAGATCAGAAATGCGAACTACAGATAAATTAGCGGTTTTACATGAAAAACTGTAAGCAAAAACTGAGATCACGAGCATAAAAGATAAGATCATGAAACATATAGTGAAAATAATAAAATGTAAAGGTTATACCTTTGACTTCACAACCTTTGCAATGCCAGTACGTTTCTCGCTTTCCCTTCTTTCAGATTCTTTCATTCCGCGCTGCCTCTCCTTTTCCTTTCTATCGTGTTCTTTTAATACAGTTCTCGAACTAGAGCTTTCTTGCTTTTTCTTTTTGTCTATTGTCTTCTCTTTTTCTCTTTTACTGGAATTTTCTAGTTCTTTTCGATGACCGCTACTTTCATTATCCCTCCGTTTGATATCGTTTGATTCCTGGACAGCATTTGGAATAGTGGCTGATTGTAAACGTTCAAAAATGTCAAAGAGCCTGAAAATATGATGGTTTTGACAGAGTATCTAAGTTCTATATTTAAAAAAGAAAACGATATGATTGTCAATTGATTCCTTACATTCTTCTATTGATGAAGAAGGTAAACATTTCATAAAACACTACACCAGACTTAAGAAGCATCAATGGTTGGAAAAGCATAAATAATACAGAACTAACCAGTCCACAAATTTTTCAGAATTTTTGCCCAGAAAAAGTAACAAATCTTCCTTCATCTGTGTTTTCTCCTTTTTATTCGCAATCATCACCATTATATAATCAGGTAATTCTTCATCTACATATACACCGAGCTCTTCTAATTTAGCCTTTATAGCAGCCTGCAAAATATTTTATTAGTAAACCGTAGAATCATATTTTGCTATTATTTGCGCTATTAACTAATTATCGTACTCGCTGGAAGTAAAGAAAACTATTCAATCCCTATTGTATAATTTAGCCCGAAACAACACTTCGTACCTCGAATGATATCATTTTTTAATTAATGAGAGTCGATACAGAAAAAATTGGAATATTCTAAAAACTTATACTTGGGCGAACATTTTTTTCAACTAAAGTAGGGATTTTTGTGAAAGAAATACTTCAACAAAATGTTTCGTCATAATTCCAGAAAAAAACTTACTCGAATTTTTTTCGAAACTTCTGCACTGCCACCAGTCATTTATTATAATTAATCCTAAAAACAATAATTTGTGTCATATTAGAAATAATCAAATTCTCCAACGGTTTCAGTCAGTAAATGCTCACAAATCCACGTTACGGCTATTTTTAAAGCATTCTCAAGCATTTAAAACTCAGTTTTCTAACAACAATCGACGATAGTGCCTCGCGTAACTGAACCTTGATTCCTGGATTTTTGGAAGTGCCCAATCTTCTATCTTACTCATTGCTTAGGCGTAAACAAAAGATCCAAACAAATGAGTATGTATGCCATAGGGCAACGAGACAAAAATGAAGCCTGACAGCTCAGACCATGCTATCTTTTCTCGATAGTTACCAATGCAAATGTAATGCTTACATTATACGAATAGAATTAACATAGTGTACCCAATGTTATGTGAGGTATGCCACAGTCATAACAAAGGTATCTACCGAGATCGTCTTGCGTCCCTCAAACTATCCACGTACAAATAAGCTGATAGGACTTTATACCATTCTCAAACTATCCACGTATAAATAAGCTGATAGGACTTTATACCATTCTCACTGTCACTCAATTTCCGGAAAATCCAATCCTGTTCCCATCCTAACCTATACGGTAAATTGTTCACGTTCATTATTCTCCTTCTACTTTCGAAAAAAGAGAAGAGAATTCAGATCAGCACAGAAAATTTTTAAGAGACATTAAAATAGGAAAAGAATGATTCAATCGATATAAACACCAGAAAAATTTCGTCTGAGTGGTATGCAATCAAAGAGAATTGACTTCATACGATTCTTAAAAGGAGAGACCAAAGGAAAGGTTGAACATTTCCTGTCAGACAGTACAATATATACCGTGCTCAATCCAGCAACTAAATCTAACGTGATATTTCACCTGTCAACTTATCAGTCAATTAACTTGTCACGAAATACAGGTACTGCTAAAAACAGAAAGCCCATAAATAGGTAGCACAATCACACCACGTCCCAGCAAAAGTATTCCTGCAAAACGCAACAGTTATGTTGCACAACGTCCTCATAAAACGTGGGCAACTCTTCGCTACGCACTAGCTTCTCTCCCCCGCTATATTTATCCTTTTCTTATGTTCTCACTGCTCTATTTTGTTTGCATAATGTATTGTAATTAGGCTTCAATGGTACGTACAGGATCCGTTTCTGTCCCAGTCAATATTTTCTTTACGACTTTCGGTTATTAACATAAGAGTATATGAGGGTCACTCGTGGAAAGCAGTGACCAATGCTGTTGAAGGACGGGAAGAGTGGGCGGACGGGAAGAGTCGCCTTTCTCAACGTTCTTTCTTTGTATGTGACACCGATGAAAGATTAGATTTGTTACTTGTTTCTCTTACAGCTCTAAAAAGTATACAAAATGAAATAGCAAAGACGTTGTTAACGATCACCATCCTGTCCCGTCTCATCATTTAGTGAATCGTAAGCTGGAACGTTATCTCTGCTGCATGTTTCATTGATTTTTGGAGATCATTTGATTGATGTCATTTTCACGGAGTACCTCTTCAAAATCGTTATCCCAATCGTATGGATCGCTCAGTTGTCGATGGTTCGTAAAATCCTGCAGTATATGATATCACCAACTAAATGAGTCAAGTTTCGAATGAGTCGAATACAGTCATGGAGTTTTAACCATAATTTGCAATATGGGAGCTGTCTTGTACTCAAAGAGGTAGACGACATGCCGCGCGCTATTTGATGAAAAACATGAGTGTTTGTGAGGATTTGCCTTTTTACTCTGAATCTCCGAGTAAATTTAAAGTCGAAAGTCGAAATTTGTCATCAATTCATGGGTAGCGAAAGCTAACCTAACCTATGTTTAAAAGGACTTTCGTAGTATGACGAATTTAGATTCATTGAGCTGTTCCAGCTCACTTTATACTAATTTTTTGCAAGTACCTAATGTTTCTTGAAAGTATGTCCTATCAGTTGCATTTTTTGATCAACAATAAAATCCACCAGCATTATATTCTGGAGAGCCACATAGTTTGGCTCGTCATATGCATCCATCGAATGTACGGCACGTCCAAATTCGCGCAAACTTTCACCAACTTTTTCCGTTACACTTTGAAAATCCTCTCCTTGCTGGAAGAAAACTATCCGCTGGTAATTACTCAGGAAATGAACCGATTCGGTTAGTGTGAAGAATGTTTAATTTAGAGTAGTTGATTGCCATTGGATAATTGCGCTGAATAAGCAATCATGAATACTGCGCTGGATGTCAAGAAGACACTGCTAGTTTTCTGCATATGGTTTTTCAGAAATTCTGAAGACGTCTTCATCTTCCGAACTTTCGTTGGAATTGTCCCCGAACTTCCATCATCTTCTTGCTTTTTTTAAATTAAAATTATCCATAATCTACATTTTACTCCATGAAAAAGATGGTTAAATTTTCTCAGTTTAGACTTACAATAGCTTCTTTCAATGCCTTCACTTCTTCGCTTCTTCTTGCTTGTTTCCAAGGTACACGACCAAGAACCATTTCAATTGCTACATAAAACAAACTTACCAGGTCATCTGACGGTCCTGTAACGGAATGAATTGAACTTTGAATCTTCTTTGTTAGATGAAGCAATGCATCAGTATAAGTTATGGTCTGAATGAACCCTCACCAAGATCCTTTCCTCCATGTGCCCTTAGGGATGCGTAGAGTGTGGTACCGCGAAATCCGCATTCTCGTCGCAGCGGTCGTACTCGACCATTTGGATAACGGAAGCGTCGCGCCAATCCATAATCAATTATTACTAAGCGATGTTTACTCTGAAATAGCTTTTATTCTAACTAGTAATTCCATTACTAGTTCCACTAAAGCGCAAAACTAAAACAAAACATAGAGGGAACGGGTTTTCTAAGAAGGGTACAAATTAAGGATCGACTCATTTTATGTTGTTAAAACATGAACGACAGTCATTGTCATTTTGATCTTCCTCTTCTATTTTTTCGTATCTCAAGAGTATAGAATAAATGAATGTTAGGTGCTCAATTGACTGCTTCGTAGATTAAATTTACTAAAAATCTGGATATCTATTCACAGTCTGCTACGTCAACTACTAAACGTTTTCGTTTGTTTCTTCAATTTCCCACGACTTCTTTGTGGGTGATGCTATAACTTCAGAAAAAAAAAAACTGCAAAACTATAACTACTACAAACATACAACTTCAGAGAGTCCGAAGCACAAATTATGTGGCTTGATATCTCGATGAATATAACCGATCGAATGTATATCTCGTAATCCCGCTATTCCCTGCAGCGGATGAAAGAAATTGTTTATGGACATGTTCTTTTGTTGTTTGAACTATAAAACGAGCATAACACATATATTGACTCATTTTGGTAATAACTAAATAAGCTGTTGGGGATCGTTGATAAATGGATGAGTATGTTAGAAATACATTTGGCAACTTTATACGGATATTCCCATCTGAATGTCGCGAAAGTAGCAACTAGGTGAGTCTAGGGAGTTGCTGAATACATTTCCCAAGCTAATTGTTGCGTATTGGTTGGCCAAGTAAATATTTTTGAACAGTTTATTACTCTTTATATCGCACTCTCCTTTATTATTGACTGATTAATTAATGGAACAGTATTTAATATGAGGAATTTTCGTAGAAACACTTGCCTTACACGATAATAACAATCTGATTGGAAGTATATCTTTCGAATCACTTATGCAAAAACGCTTGATATCATATAAAGAAAAAAGCCAAGGTATGCTTAAACCTGTATGACAATGCGAGCCATAGTAGGACGTGAGAAACGTTTAAACGGACTTTGCTTTCTAATGTCGTTTACA